CAGCTGACAGTTTGATCAGGGTTTGATCAGGGTTCTATTTTTGGCTTTATTGAGGGGAAGGAAGCATTAAACTATCAGCCATGTGGGGGTTCTGATGCCCCAGGAGGTCAACGTGGAAACCAGTCAGTATGTGACCAACAGGTTAACGATTTAGGCGTCTCAGATTGACTCTATGAAGGTAAAACATTAAGGTGTTTAAAGAGGACTTTGATCTCAGCTGCTTATTGGGGAAACACCTCCAGATTTTTCCCTTTTACTGTAAAAGATCATAGCCTTAATGAGGGGAGGGCTTATGTGTAGAGCAACAATGATCGGTGGAACGTTTCTTGCTTTTCATGACCTGAGAATGACTTAAAGAAGCTCAACAAGCTGATGAAGAATTATTCATAAGGTGAAGAACATCAGGGACAACAGTGAGCATCCTCCTAATCAGACTGTTAAACAATAAAGTGTCTTCAGTCAGAGGTTCCTCCAGACCACAGAAGATCGTTCCTGTCTTCAGCTACCACACACCTACAAAGTGTTGAAAGAAAACCTTTGAGTTGCTACAACATTTCATTTCTCCTACAATCTACTCTGTCCCTGCTTGTAGGCGGTTTTACAGTTGTATCTTCTACCATCTTTGATGCACCCGATGACTGCGTATTTCTGCAGATGATGGGACTCTGTCTGGTACTGGAAGTCAGAGGTTTACAGAGTAAAAATAAATGTTGAGAGTACTGTCCCCTGTGGGGCTCCTTTGTTGCTGACTACTTCACTAGACAGCTAATGCTGACTTGGATCCCAAAGGTTACCGGTTCGACTCCCGACCCGCCAGGTGGTGGGGGGAGTAATTAACCAGCGCTCTCCCCCATCCTCCTCCATGACTGAGGTACCCTGAGCATGGTACCGTCCTGTGGCGGCCATTGAGGGCTGCCCCCTTGCACGGGTGAGGCATAAATGCAATTTCATGGTGTGCAGTGTTCACTTGTGTGTGCTGTGTCACAATGACAATGGGAGTTGGAGGAGTTTCCCAAAGGGCTTTTTCACTTTTTTTTTTCATTGTCAGGGTCATTCACTAAACATTCAACAGAAAATCGTATTTGGAAATCAATGGTTTTGATTAAATTATGAATAGATTATTGCTAATAGCTTATCTATTATATAGCTTTTATATTTTGAATTATGTGTGAGATACACACACACACAAAAAAAGGCTGCATGTAGTGCTGGGCGATATGGAAAAAATCATATATCATGATATGGACTATTTTATATCACGATAATGATATATATCGCAATATGCTCCAATTGAGTACATTTTCAGCAAATCTCTGAAAAATATGACAAAATAATATAATTGCTTACTTTTTCAACTTTATTTTGAAGTGACATTTAT